CAGCTACAAAATCGCTTGGTGTAATAATAGACGATAAACTCGATTGGCATAGTCACATCGAAAAACTAACGAAAAAGATCGCCTCTGGTATCGGGGCCCTAAAGCGAATTAGGCACCTGATCCCAGCATCAACCTTACATCTCATCTACCAAGCTTTAGTAAAACCTCACTTTGATTACTGTGACATTGTTTGGGGTAGCTGTGGGAAAACGCTACGAGACAAACTGCAGAAATTGCAGAATAGAGCAGCCCGTGTGTTGACATTCTCTAACTATGATGCTGATGCAACTGAGCTACTCGAGTTTTTAGGGTGGAAAAATCTTGCACGCCAGCAGGAAATCCATAAAGCCACCATGATGTTTAGATGTCTGCACGGGCTAGCTCCAAGGTATCTATATTCAAAGTTTACGTGGCGTGACTCTGCTTATGACCTCAGGGACTCTGAAAATAAGCTTAATGTTCCACTACCGCGCACTAATTATTACAGAAAAAGCTTTAGCTACAATGGCGCCACATTATGGAACAGTTTACCACGCGATATAAGGAACACAGAGTCTCTGGGGTTATTTAAACGTAAGATCAATGACATTTTTTAAGTCTAACGCACGGCATTCACGGAAAACAGCCTTAGTGTTATAGTATGTAGTTTTAATTTTAAATATCTTAGCGTATGTGACATGTATTTTTATAGGCTGATGAATTGATCGTGTCTAAATAAAGATTACAATACAATACAATAGAAAAGGACGCGCGTCTTCTAATACAAAAAAAGGGCACGAGAAGTGAATGATGTGATGCTAGCAATGATTATAGAATGAAAATGTAACTATGCTTAAAAAAATTGTAAACTAACTCCACTCAAAAATAATGTAATGCAACTAAAACTAAAAGTACACAACTTGTCGTCCACGAATCGTAAATCGTTCGATGATAGGTAATGTTACGGTATTCTCTCAGCCACCAGAAAGATACAACTCGTACTAACTTAACTACTTTATTGACTGACGTAATAACTACGGAGCGATACCAATAACTAATGCAATAACTATCCTCTTAACCTAGCTAAGGAGTGACATTAATACCTATACAATAACTATCCTTTTAACTTAGAACCCTCTATAAATACTATAACTTCAATCTCAGTACACTACTGCACAACTAACGGTTCTCTTTAAAGATCCTTGTAGCTTATCAATATCCACAACACTTTTCCAAGGCAGCCTTCCACACGCCTGACGATTCCAGTAAATAATTCCAACAACTCTATCAGGCTCTCGCTCCTCTGGCCTCCTCGTAGTAACAATAACTCACTGAAAAAGGTCTCTAACTTTAACCTATCGCGACACCTTAGATATGTTTTTGTATGTATAGTACCATGTAAGTAAATTATGTAATTGTTCACTAAAAAGCCCCAGATGGGAATGTGTTCAAGAAAATGTATGTATGTATGTATGTATGTATGTATGTATGTATGTGTGTATGTATCTTATAAAAAGTTCCAGAATGTTCTAGAGATCTGTAACACTGCTATTTTTAGTAAATTTACACTCCTATTACATCATAACGAAAATATGCTGGCGAACTGTTCTAGAAAGCACCATTAAAAGTGCTAATGAGTCAGCATGACTAAGCGTTCTAGAAACTTCCTCGATTCTATTTTTAACAACTATGTAACACCACGCTCTCCTTAACAATAGTAGCACCCTAGACACGAGACGAAAACTGTTTTTGATGCTTGGAGCAATTCAGTTGGACAGATTTCATAGTTACCTGTGCATTTTTTGCCATCGCCATTAAACCCAACCTTGCAGCTGCAGTTAAAAGAACCTTCGGTATTGTTGCACTCAGCGTTGACGTCACAGTTGTGGGTTTTCGTGGAACACTCGTTTACATCTGTAGAAACAAATTATTTCCGTAAATAATTAAATTTAAAAAAGTTGATAAAAGCGTTTGCAAGTATTTTCTGATTGGATGACCTGTGATAAACGACAGGACTAAAAGCTCACTGAAAGAGCATCATGTGGAATAATGTCTGGGGACCAGTCATTTTCTATCGAAGGGGGAGGGGAGATTGGGAGGATCACATGGTTTTCAGGGGGAACGGATACAAAGTGTGATACTTAGATCTTAATAAAGGTTTTGTTGTGTATTATCGGTGAGTATTTTTACGAGGTGTGCAGTATTTTTACGAGCATGTATGGCAAGTTTAAATAGAAACAACTACGCACCAAAACGTTTAATAAGAGATTTAGTATCCAACGCGCCAATTTGCGTATTCAGTGCGGGGGAATTTCGCGGATATCTATTTACGGGGAGTGCAAAGCGGAACGCAATCAGCGCGTTGTCGTGCTGCTGTTTCATTTTTCTTCGATAGATGATGAAATTTCAATGTCGTCCAACTGCTTTTCTTCTTTTCCTCTATCTAATAAAATTGGATTAACACTCGCCAGCCGTTCCAACTCTCCATCGTTAGAAAGATAATTTGAATTTTTCACCATTTTTGTTGGTAACCTCAATCCAATTCGTTGCTTGCGCAAGACAAGAAAACCTGTCATGAGCGTTATTTGTACTCTAAGAACCACAGTTAATTGGCTGATAATGACTCGTAAGTCATCAAAACACATGTGGAAGCATACGAGACCATGGTGAAATGGATGCAAAAGAGAAGCATAACTGTAGTAGCTAACATGATTATAAGAGCGCACGTGCAAAGTAACTCTTGCCTTTTTCACAGTGGTCTCCCGTGTAACCAGGTGGACACACACACTTGTATCCCTTGTCCGTAAATCCAACCAAGCAAGTTGCATTATTGTAGCACATGTTGAAACAACACTTGTTCTAATGGGAAAAAATAGTTAGCCTTATTTTGTAATAAAATAACAGAGATGCTATTCATGCGAGCGATTTATACTGTCTATCCATAAGGGGCATGCTTGGAGTTTTTCATTTTTTGTGTAACAAATGAAAAAGCCTGGACTTTGCTCTGTTCTGTTGTAAAGGACGACGCAAGCGGCTAGAGAACAAAAAAAGTGAAGGGGGAGAAACTTCTTCATACTCTGATAAGACATGTTGTCTCAACCAATCAGAACGCGCGTTATACAGGAACTTTATTTTTAAAATTAATTCATCTCATTTTCATTTTTAGCCGATTCAGGTGTTCTCAGGCTTCACTTAAAAAGGTTTTGAGATAAAATTGCTTCATCTGAGTTGCCGAAGACTCACAGTTGCATAAATTAGTCATGGCGTGCAGACATGTTTTTGCAGTCGTGCTTCTATTGACTATTTTCAGCGTTTTACTTGGCCAAAATACCGCATGAAAAAGGTCAACACCACAACAATATGATTGGTTTGTGACACATGAAAAATGCGGCAATCTGATTGGTGCGAGCGACATACTACTCATTACGCTTACATTACACTGAATTATTGATTTATTTCTTTGAAATAATTCAATTATAGATAGGACTTTCTCCAATGAAAGAGCGGATCATTTTTCACACTTGCTGAAATTAAACCTTACGGGGAGTGCAAAGCGGAACGCAATGAGCGCGTTGTCGTGCTACTGTTTCTGTTTTCTTCAATAGATGATGAGATTTCAATGTGGTCTAACTGCTTTTCTTCTTTTCCTTTATCTAATAAAATTGGATTAATACTCGCCAGCCATTCTAACTCTCCATCGGTAGAAAGATAATTTCAATTTTTCACCATTTTTTTTGGTAACCTCAATCCAATTCGTTGCTTGCGCAATGCAAGAAAAGCTGTCTTGCGCGTTATTTGTACTCTAAGAACCACAGTTGGATGATAATGACTCGTAAGTCATCAAAACACATGTGGAAGCATACGAGACCATGGTAAAATGGATGCAAAAGAGAAGCATAATTGTAGTAGCTAACATGATTATAAGAGCGCACGTGCAAAGTAACTCTTACTTTTTTCACAGTGGTTTCCCGTGTAACCAGGTGGACACACACACTTGTATCCCTTGTCCGTAAATCCAACCAAGCAGGTTGCATTATTGTAGCACATGTTGAAACAACACTTGTTCTAATGGGGGAAAATAGTTAGCTTTATTTTGTCATAAAATAACAGAGATGCTGTTCATGCGAGCGATTCATATTTCTTATCCATAAGGGGCATGCTTGGAGTTTTTCATTTTTTTTTGTAACAAATAAAAAAGCCTCGACTTTGCTCTGTTCTGTTGTAAAGGACGACGCAAGCGGCTAGAGAACAAAAAAAGTGAAGGGGGAGAAACTTCTTCATACTCTGATAAGACATGTTGTCTCAAACAATCAGAACGCGCGTTATACAGGAACTTTATTTTTAAAATTAATTCATCTCATTTTAATTTTTAGCCGATTCAGGTGTTCTCAGGCTTCACTTAAAAAGGTTTGAGATAAAATTGCCTCATCTGAGTTGCCGAAGACTCACAGAAAAGCGAGGAAACTCTATTAACAGATACACAAGGCTTACAAACAGCAGCAAACTCCTAAACAAAAATTAAAATAAGAGAAAAACAAAACACTTACCTCCGTGCCCCTATACATGAAACCTGCCATCGGTTTCAGATCATTTGGGTGTTGCAAGTGGTCCGAGTCACTCAATTGACACAAAACTTTATCTTTTTCTCCTGAGGGTCCCATGTTGATCGATTTACATCTGTCTTCCATAGTACACCAATTTCTGCAGTGACTATACATATGCATTCCGACTGGTAATGAAATGTTTTTAAAGACGGGGCCCACTAATCCATATCCGTCTTTCTGTTGCAAGAACTTTAGACGCCGACAGCTATCTATAAATCAGACGTTAGAGGAAAGTTTGTTTTAGGCCTCCAAAACGTCTCGCGTAGGTTGACGAAAAAAAAAAAAAATTCAAACAAAAACAGGAATAGAATAGAATACGACTGAGTAATGTTAATAAAACCATTATTTAGAGAGAACGGTGTGGTCTTACAGCTTTAACAATTTTCATGGCTATCAATTGATGGGCTAAAAATTAACTTCTATTAACTCGGATTTTGAAATCCATCTGCTCCAAAAATTGGATAGTTTACCGTATCGTATTCCTATGGTTAGCCTTCAGTCGAAATATAATGAACCACCTAGGGGCCAGACTATTTATTTTGTAACCCTTCTGCAATATTGTTTTTCCTTTAACACGAGCAGAATAGGATTGTGACAATTCCGCCATATGCCGGCGCAAGAGGTTATACATCTTTTTTTTTTTGAGGGAAAAAAACCTTTAAAGAAACGGTTATAATTTTTGATTTCGTCTCTGTTTTCGTATGCATTTTCATGCGTTTTTTTGTGGATTAAAAGTTTCAAAACGTAAAACGTTTTCGAGCAAAATCGAATTTGAGTTAATGTGAGGCAGGAAAAAGAAGATAAAAAAAAAAGATTTGCACATGGTATCACCGCAAATCGTAAAAGTAGAATGTTTCGAAAACGAATCTGAGTGGCGGGACGCAGAAAAAATAGTGGAGAAGAAAAAGCTTTCGACAAGCTAGGCTGAGGGAGCTTTTTAAAAATATTTTAGTACCCCGAAATGGTATCTTAATTTCTGTGAATATATCACCATGTACTTTTTTAGTGAATAATGTATGATATTATGCTCCAAACTGTGCTTACTTTGATGATCTCTGAAGCTTTATCCCAAATTGAAAAGCAAAACAATAAATGAAAAGAAGATACATGGAATTGTAGAAAATCATTTATTTTTGCGCTACTTATGACCTCATACCCTTTTCATTGTAATCTTCCTCAACTAGATTTGAACAAAGGAAAAATGTGTAAGAAATTCTTTCCCCATTTGAATCTTTCTTTACATTTTTCTTTTTTGCAAACCAAATTTAAACAGCCACAGAAAACAACCTGTATTTGCTGAATAAAACTATTTGTGACAAACGTAACCCTAGTCATTTTGCTGACTTAAGCTAAAGTGCTGGTGATACGCTTAAAAAAAAAAAAAAAAAAAAAAAAAATTGGAGAGAAAGATAAGTTCATGATATTTGGTGCTGAGTTTTACTTTAACTGGCGGCAATTTCGCATGCGGTCTGATTGACCACTTTGCTGCTGTTGCCTAAGAGTACAGACAACGCTGCTCTCGTCAACGTGTCATGCAAAGTTTCGTCCACCGAACGAATCCACGACATTTTGGGCACTGTGATGACGAATATCGTTGTCACGGTAAGAAGAGAGACCACGTTAAACTTCTGTCGATTTGCAGTAAATGGTTTGAACCCGGGGGTAACATGTGAAGGTGTAGTCTGATCGTCCGGGTGAGTGTAGTCCTGAGAAGGACTGTTGTCGGTGGCAGTGACTGACGTTTCGACAACCTGTGCGGAAGTCATCATCAGAGTCAAGTGAGTGATTGTTGTCAGTAGAATGTTCTTATTCCAGTTCGTGTGAAATGATCGGTTGGTTTTGCCGTGATGTTATTGGCTGTAAGACTCAAGTGACGTAAGTCGTTCGTGATTGGTCTGTTTCGGTCTGTCGGTAAAGCTAGGTTGTTCTTTTTCGGTCGTTTGTGATGTTTACACTCACCCGGACGATCAGACTACACCTTCACTTCTGTCGATTTGTTAATTTTATTCTCATGGATCATTTATCGCTCACTTTTCGGCTTACTAAAAAAAACTTCTTCCGTGGCACTCGCACTAAGTAAATCATTGATGACCCATTGTTTAAAACTTCTTTATTTCATTTGTTATATACAGATATTTAAGGAATAACAAAGAATTATTCCATATCGACTATAAATCCGTTGTTTCCCTGCTTGATCTTCTTTACAGGCTAATTCAGTTGAAGAAATTTTGAAATGTTCTGTTCGTAAGCTATTACATAGATTGTACGTAAGGTTATTCAGCTCGAAGAGAGGCTATCGAACAGAGGACGAAAAAGCAATTTTTCTATTATTTTGTTGATATTCCGAGAGTATAAAGATAATTCAGATGCCATTAATTGAGGAAGAGAGAAATATTACAATTTTTCACCCATTTCTACAAGGTGTCTGCTTAAAACTATTAAAAAATCATAAATAATCGACGGCTTTTTCCATCGATGTTATTAGGAAATGTTATGGGTTGTTATTTATGATTGTTTAATAATGAAATTGATCTGAATAAATTCTTGTAAAAATTTAAAACTTAGGAAACGTCGCCGAAAAGTTAGAACCAAAATGCCCCGAATGAAGTTCCCACACACACCATCGATTATGTTACAACTGGTCTAGAAAGTTTCTAAATTTGTAAGCACTTTGTGAAATCGTAGTTTCCCTCTTCCTCATTTTTAATTAGCTACTCTTGTTGAAAAAACGCTAAAGTTCTTTGCACTGAAGCTTTTTCGGGATGGTCATGTTAGTTTTTACTTCAGAGCCCTCTCGATGTGGTAAATTAGGATATCCAAACCCTCGAAAAGTGCATAATTTTTCCCCTATTCCTCGGGCCCTTGCTTTCCTGCAACTCCAGGTTTGCATTACTTCAGGAGTTGCCATAATCTACATTGTCATCCAACCCACACAAAAGAATTTCAAAGTTAACTCACCATGGTTTGCAACTGTTAAGGTGTAGCACCAGCCTCCAAACAAAAAGAGGAGAAATATGAAAGAGAACATCGGGCAGCGACGGCGGGCCATCTTCAGATTCTTGTCAAAAAATAAAGCGTTTTTATCCAACTATCAGAGTCGTTCGCTTTACAAAAATCTTTTCAGTAAAGTGAGATAAATACAGCAACCATCAGTTTCCCATCTCTGGCACTGCTAGGTTCTTGTAAAGCCAAAACGGCGAAGTTTCATTCCTACCGTCATTTATTATTAATCTAAATTGGACGGGATAATAAGTTACTTAATTGTTCCTGTTTACAAGTTTCTTAACTGTTCCTGTTTACAAGTTTCTTCAAACGTCATTTGTGCATGAAAAATGCCCATTACAACCCTCTTGTTTTGTGGAATTTTGAAAGAGAAATTTCTCTGAAACATTAATCAAAACGAAATGAAAGAACGACGAAAAGAGAAAACAAAAAGAAGAGAAGAAAAATCTAGAGATACTTATTGTTATGATGATTATTTGTACTATCACTCATTAACTTCCCTTGGGGTAGTAAAGTCTTAACCATAGGAGCCAATTTTGACAAATGGATGTCTTTTGTATTCTGTCAAAACAATTCCATAATTTTAAAAACTCCTTAAATAAAACACATAAACGACCACCGGGTTTGGTGTTTCCCATTCAATGACTTGGCATTTGGGGGTAAAAACTGTTATTTCAGAATGATTATTTAAACATTCAATAATC